CACCACTAATCGGTAAATATAGTAACTGCTTTTGAAGGGCTTCTCAAGGTCAGCACTCCCCTTTATAATTGTATAGGTCAGACATTGATGTCTTTGGACAGTCAGACCCAAAATTGTCGCAACGAAAGGATAATGATGGTCGATATCCAATACACTGGGCAGCTTCTTCTAACAACTTGGATATCGTCCAGTTGTTGGCCAACCAACGCAGTTTCGATGCTGATGTCCAGGTGAGTAACGACTTCTCGTTGAAAGTCTTCTCCCATCCCCAGGAAAATAACCGACACATTCTAGGATGAAAGCGGGTGGTCTCCTTTGATGATCTCAGCCAGTGTTCCAGAGGGTGAAGCTGTTGTCAAACTTATCATGTCCAAAGACGCGGACGTGAACCTCAAGAGTAAGTCTCGCCCTCCGTCTATCAACTCAAATATACTCACCGGACCTTGAAGACTCTGCTGGACAGGTAACGCTTCAATCACGAAATCTAAATTGAGAGCCATCTAAACTCACCATATAGACTGCCCTTCACTTTGTCGCCTCCAAGAAGAATCTTGATATTGCCCGTGTTCTTATCGACAACGGCGCGTCGACCCGAGTACGCGATCGCAGGGGCCAGTATCCCATACATCGCGCTGCTGCTGTCGGTTCCGTGCCAATGGTGACTCTACTTCTCAAGAATAGAAGTCCGCTAAACCCTGCTGATAATGAGGGATTCACTCCCCTTCACCACGCAATTGCAGAGGGACACGGTAAAAAGACTCTCTTTGCCACCGGCGTCAAAAAGCCACTAACCTCTGTTCTCCAGGAGACACTGCTGTTGCTCTCCTCAAAGAAGGCGCTGATTTCACCCTAAAGAACAGCGCGGATGAGCTAGCACTTGATCTGGCACCAGATAAAGAAGTATGTATATCTCTACAACACAACAAACACGGAGTTCTTGGCTCTATTCTCTTCGCACCACACTATAAACCCCCATCTAACTCTGTCTCTTTGTCAACAGGTACGCCGATATGTCTTACAAGGCGCAGAGCGTGAGGGTATCGAGTTGCCAGGGTAGCTAGGAATACATGCTGGAAGAAAGTGAAAAAAGGTGCTACACATCACGACTTTTCCCGGGTTTAAGATGCGAACACGAGAAAGAAACGAAAACAAGGCAGAAGATAACGAAGTAAAATAGAAAAATATTCTCCCCTTTTCTTACTTCATCACGGTCCGTTCCACCAACTCGCGATACATGTCCTTGACGTCCTGAACGTCAGCCTTGAGCTCCTCAACGAGCTCGCTCTTCTCACCCAGCATCTCTAATGTTGTCTGGTATCGCGAGTTGATGTTCTCTACTTCCGCTTCTAACTCTGTTACCCGCGCTGAAGCAACTTTTTGTGTTTCCAGCTCTGTCATCAGGTTCACAATATCAGATCGCGCCTCGTCTCGCTGGCTGCATACACGAGCCATCTCTTCTTTTGCAGCCACCTTCTCGGCTTCCAGTCGTCGAATTGCCGCGCTCATTCTCTCGACGAGTTGGACGGAAGGACCAGCCCCGACTGTTGATACCGAAATCATGTCTTGCGCAACGTTGCGGGGAGACGAAGGGTCACCGTCATCTAGGCCATCATCACGATCTGGTGGCGGTGATACGGCGCGTGGTGACTCAGTAGGTGGCTCAAAGGGCGAGAAAGGGGGTGGAGGAGGTATCACATGACCGGCCGTGGACAACGCACTAGGGCGAGGAGGTTGACTGGACATTCTTCGTCCAAAGAAGAAGCCATCGCCGGCGCTTTCGGTTTGGCTTCCCGGTGTGGGTACTCGACGAGGCTGTCTTGCTGGTACAGGAAGCCCGATGAAGTCCGAGCTAAAGGTCCGGGCAACAGAGAGCAATGGGGAATCGGGTCGGCTCTGAGACCGGGGTGTGCTTAAAGCAATATCGTCTGCCCATTGCCTTCGTTCGGCCTCGGCCGAAACCTCCCTGCTCGCCGCTCGCTGTTGCTTCTCGAGCTCGTTGCGTGCCTGTTCAAGGGCCGTCTCCACGCTCTTGTGTTGGACTCTGAGGGCAGCAAGCTCTTCACGACATGTCTCGAGCTCCTGCCGAGCGACTGTGAGAGCTGGACTGACGTCCTGAAGCTCATCCTCGAGTCGCTTATAACGAGTTGCCTGTTGAAGGTGTCAGCCATCTTCCCCCCTTTTTACTGTCGAGAATATATAATTTACCGCGTCACGAGCTTTCTTCCGCATTTCTGACTCTCGCCGTTGTGCTTCGTCCCTCTCCTTTTCAAGGCTGGCAGCCTTAGTCAGGAGTGAGGTCTCTATACCTTGCCAGTTCTCGCTGGCCGATGCATACTGCGATTGGAGGGTTTCGATATGTCGTATCAACTTGATGTCACCACCAGATCCTGCAGAGGCCTCCTCGGCCGTCGCCCTCATTGCCTCGAGTTTGCCCTCAGTCGCTCTCAGCTCAAGTTTCAGCTCTTCTTCAATATTCCGACCACGTTCTAATGCTCGGTCTAACTTCTCTTGCCACTCAACCTCAGTCAGGCGCAATTTCTCAATCAATGCCTCCTTTTCTGACCGTAGTGATGCGATAAAACGGTCAAGTTCCTGCTGTTTGTTCTTCTCAACATCTAGCGCCTTTTTCAATGCCTCAGCGTGGGCGGCTTGTATTTGCTCAGCCTTGGCTTTAGATTCTTGCTCCAGACGTCGATAGGCCTCCTCCATGACAGCTTTGTCTTTCTTCAGGGCGTCGATTTCCTTCTGAAACGTAGCGCTCGCTTTTCGCACTTCCTCATTTCTCTTCTCTTGCTCTTCCTTGTTGTTGATTCGACTACGTAAGGATTCCACCTCGGCTAGAGCTTTTTCTTTACCTTTTTTGAGTTCATTGGCCTGTTTCTCGTTGTCTATAATCTGGGTGCGCAGCTTGCGAACCGTTGTTCGGAACTTTTGCTCTGAAGTTGAAAGCTTTCGTCCTTCCTCCATTAGCAGCGCGATCTTCTCATCCTTTTCGGCCAATTTGCGGTCTACACTACCCGCTTCAGCAGAACCTGCAGTCTGCCTAGCTGCATCCGCGGCATTTTTAGATAGGAACTGCAGTTTAGCTTGTAGTGAGTCGATTTGCTCAATGTAGTCTTGAATCTCCTCTGAACGAGGCGCGTGAGCTTGAGTGGCGTCCTGGTCTTTCTGTGACTCTTCAACTGGAGCATCTACGATCTGTGGTGCCTCTACAGGATGCCTGGTATCTGGTATTGGACTATTCGATTTTTGCGGGATGCCGGATTCGTCCGTAACTTGTTCTGGTGCACTTCGAGGTTCGGCCTCAGAAGGCGGCTCAACGATAATCGGGGTAGGGAAATCATGCTTGAAGTTTTGTTCACTAATCTCCCTGCTATTGCTTCCCTCAGATGTCGCTGGCTGCTCAGCTGAGGATCGGGAAGCTGGGCTGTCAGAAGATGTTGGCTTGTCCACTTGGTTGGCAGGTTCAGTTGGCTTGATTTCCGAAACTTCGATGCTTTGTCTCATCATTACGGGCTCAGTGCTAGCAGGGCGCTCCTTGTCAACCGAACTACGAGAAGTATCGATGGAGCTGCGAGGAGACGATTGTGAGGTTCGCGAGGCCATAGCCTTGGCCAACCTGGCTTGTAGACGATCATTGGCACGGTTAGGCTTCGGGGCGACAGCTATAAAGAACAAGAAGTCAGCATGCGATAGTTCTACCAGTACCAGAACACGGCCGAGGAGAAAAGAGAGGTATACCAGATGCAGTCGGTTTGGGGCTTGGTGATGGCGAGGGCGCGGGCGCGGGCGCGGGCGCGGGCGCCGCCTTCATTCCCTGCTGCTGCTCATATCCTTGTGCTGCCTGTTGGTCTTCGTCAAGTAAGTTGTCGAGACGATTCTCGACGCCTTCGAAGGCCGAAGAGAGGAACGCTCCCCATCGCGACCCTTTGCCCGGCGCAGTCATGGTCGAATGACGAGAGCGCCCGAGGTGTTGGGTCACAGCTCGTCGTTGTCGGTCGTCAACTGATTGACGTGATCGCTGGTGGTCTCCTCATCGATGTGCTGCAGAAGAAGTAGATGTAGCGCTTGGGAGGGCGGCGCTTGAGTTGACTAGGTTGCACTGCAGCTGCAATGTATTAAGGTAGATGTGCAAGGTAGTCGTAGTTCGGTGGTGGTGGTTTGCAGGGGAACGTTGGCTTGAAGGTTGAGGTGTCGTCAGCGCAACTTGGGAGTGGCATGTACTAAGGTTAGTGTGTGGTAAGTGGAGTGAGACATGGACCTCGAGGCCAGGGAGGATACTCCAGGATGATTAGGACAAGGGATAGGCTATCTTGGAATTACCTCTGTCATTGCGTGAAGAAGTCATCCAAGGATTCAATTTAATTATCATGTGAATTGGATTGAATTAGGCAACCCCCAACTCGTGTACTTCCACAAGTTAGAAGTGGCGTTAGTCTAGCAAGGAAGATGGCCAAAATTGACAAACAAAGTGGAAAATGCCCTTTGCCTTGGGGTAGTGGACAGTAATTAATGTGCTTGTTAGAACCGACACAAAGAAACCTCCAACAATCTAGGTTAAATGGCCATGCATCGAAATATTCGGCTTTGATAACGAGCAAATTTTAAACAAAAAAAATACATTTATTGAGTTTACATCGTGCCTTGCGGGTACATGTAGGATAACAGTTCGCTATATCCAGCATACCTATACAGTCCAAGTACATACTTATCCAGACTTCAAATACCGTACCAGTCAAGATCAACATCCAATGCTAGAATATCCTCAAAGCACCAATCCCAGATATGCCATGAGTTGATAATGCCAAGCCAAACCTAGACACCGACCATATCTATGTTGGTGTCATGTTGACATAGAACGTGGTTACCAAAAACAAGAGCACCACAACGAAATGCATGAAGTAGTGACAAACATTCAAATAGCATTGGCAAACACGCTCGCTTGAAATAGACTCTCATGTATCGTTCGTTCGTTCGCTCATCCATCATCCGATCACTCCTCATCCAGCGATCTTCTTCCACCAACTTGTGCGAGGTGTTGTTGCTGCCTCCATAAAGGTTGACGCTCGACGGCTGTGATGTCGCTCGTCGCTACCTTCCGAGCGCCTATCTCGGTGACGTTCTCTATCTCGACCACCGCGCTCACGATCGTCTCGCCTTGCTCGTCGCCTTCGCCGATCTTCGGTCTCTTCTGTGGGCTCTTCCTCGTATTTCGATCGATGAGCTCGACGAGCTTCACGTCTTGCCATCTCGTCCTCGGTCTGTCCACCATTTGCTTCACCCCCGTCACCGAGGTCAGGAGGAGGGGGTGCGTCAGAGTGTTCCTTGACCCATGATGAAGTCCCAGAATGAGGCCAAGCTGGAGCCTGCGGTCTCTCTTCGCGACGATGGGATCTCCGCTGGTTATATTCGTCTGCAGATTGCTGACTTCGTCGCTGACGACCTTCCTCCTCTTCTGCACCTCGAGCAGCCCGCTTTGTGTCGCGCCGACGGCGTTCGCGTTTGGCAGCTCGACGAGCCTCTTCATCTTCGACTTGTTCTGCGGCAGCGACTGCTTCCTGTTCTCTACGCAAGCGCCTACGTTCGGCTCTTTGTGCCTCCTTTTCCTCTTGCAGTCGTTGTTGTTCTTCTTGCGCCTGTCGCTCCTCCTGGGCTCGTCGTGCATCTTCATCACGCTGTCGTCTGCGTTCAGCACGGCGGGCCTCTTTGTCTTGCCTTGTAGGATCGGCTTCTTCCTCGCGCTGTCGACGTCGTTCACGGCGTATCTCATCTCGAGCTCGACGCGCTGCTTCCTCAGGATCAGGACCGCTTTCAGCAGCCCTCTTGGCCCTGCGTGCAGCTCTCCTTGCTTTCCGGTCAGCATCTACTAATACTGCGTCACCATCCATTTTGGCGCTGCGCAAGGCTTCGTCATCAGTTGTCGCATAGGTGCTGCGACGTCGCAGAGGGTCAGGTCGTTCAGTCTTCGGCGTTCGCAAACCACTGAAGAGGCCAGCGAAACCTGAGGACCTCTTGGAACTTCGTGGAGGTGCGTCAAAAGGGACGTCAGGCTCCACCATCACGGGCTCTTCATCCCTCGATCTCTTGGCTCGCCGACGACGTTCGGTATCGACCACGGCGACTTCTTCCTCTTCGCGAGATCGTGGTTTGTGAGACCGTCGGCGCTCGCGTCTATCGGGCGCGAGTTCAGGATCTACCATAACCAAATCATCGTCCTCATGCGACCGTGGTTTATTTGAACGACGACGTTCATATTTATCAGGCACAGGAGCAGCGCCAGACATCATTGCATCTTCATCTTCGCGTGATCGAGGTTTACGCGACTTGCGGCGATTGCTTAATTCATCCTCGCCCATGAGCACATCTTCAGGAGGAGGCGATACAAGTCCGCGAGCATTGGTAGAGTGGCGACGTTTGCTGCCGATGCCGTCTTTCTTCTCGCGCATGGTAGCGGAACGAGTGAGTGGTGGTTTACTAAACAAAGCAGTGCCACGAGATCGTGATGGAGTCTTCTCGACTTTGTCGGATGAGGAACCCTTGGACGACGTCTTTTCCTCTCGCCGTCTATGTCTAGTTGACTTCTCTTGAGGCTCAACCCTCTCTTCATGTGGTGTCGCGGCCCACCGACCAAATGAAGTTCCTTCGCGATGAATTTTGGGCCTTCGAGACTGCTTCGACTCAGGTGGTGGCGTCAACGGAGGATCTGGAACTGGAGGAGGCGGAGGAGCATCGCGACGGGATTTGCTCTTCCTACTCTTCCTTTCTTTCTTTGGCGATAAGTCGATGACCTCGACGATCTCATCATCTGCAGGGGCTTCGGGAACTTGGTCCTTTGGCAGTACCTCAGCTTCCTTTTCTTCGTCTTCGCCGAAAATAGCTTCATTTTCGACGTCACTCGATTCTTTATTCGCAGTGTCTTCAGCGTCCGCTTCTTGATCCTCATCATTGTCCTCGGCTTCAATGTCCGACTCCTCTTCTTCAGGAGGGTTGCCGAATTCGACTACATCCGCTTCTTCCCCTTCTGCTGCTGCGGCAGCCTCTTCTTTGGCGGCTAGCTCTGCAGCACGCTGGGTAGCGTTCTCCTCTAGAACTCTGAGTCGTTCGGTATCCTTTCTGCCAAGCCTACCTTTCCTTGCTTTCTTGAACTGGAGGAAGTCAAGCTCCTCAAGTTCTTTCGTGACCAACTCACGAGCTGCGGCTTCTGTCGCCTCTTTAGCTGCTGCCTCCTCGGCTTCTCTCGCTGCTGCTGCTGCTGCCTCCTCAGCATCAGCATCATCTCTCCCCTTGCCCACTTCACCGTTATCGATATCCTCGTCCTCTGCGTCTTTGTCCTCGTCCTCTTCCTCGTCCTTGTTTTCTTCTTCTTCTTCTTCTTCTTCTTCCTCGTCGTCGTCCTCCTGCTCCTCTTCTTCAGCATCTTCAGCTCCAAGGTCTGCTTCGACGGCTGCTGCTTCCTTAGCGGCGCGTTCCTCGGCGCGTTTTGCTGCATTATCTTCTAAGATTCGAAGCCTCTCGGTGTCTTTTCTGCCCAATCTGCCCTTTCTTGACTTCTTAGCTTGAAGGACCTCGAGCTCATCCTCCTCCTCCTTAGCGATAGCTGCCTCCTCTGCTTCCCGAGCTGCTGCCTCCTCTGCTTCCCGCGCTGCTGCCTCCTCTGCTTCTTGGGTCGCCAATTCTTCCTCGTCTGCCTCAGGCTCCTCCTCCCCCCCCTCCTCTTCCTCTTCTTCCTCCTCCTCCTCCTCCTCTTCACCTTCACCCTCACCGTCTTCCTCAGGTTGATTAACTATAGCAGCCTCAGCCGCAGCACGTTCTTCTGCGCGCCTTGCTACATTCTCCTCTAATATGGCAAAGCGTTCAGTATCTTTTCTGCCTAACCTGCCCTTTCTTACTTTCTTGGCTTGAAGGGCCTCGAGCTCGTCTTCCTCTTCTTTCGCAATAGCTGCCTCTTCAGCTTCTCGAGCTGCAGCTTCCTCCTCTTGTGTTTCTAAAGGCTCCTGCTCCTGCTCCTGCTCCTCTCCTCCAGTCTCTCCCACACCTTCGATATCAGGCTCCTCCTGAACGGCTTCAGTCTGAGCCTCAACAGCAGCTCGCTCCTGTTCGCGGCGGGTAGCATTTTCTGACAAGATGATAAATCTCTCAGTGTCCTTCCGACCAAGTTTTCCCTTCTTTGCCTTCTTTTTCATTAAAGCTGCCAGTTCTGCTTTTTCCTCAGCGATTACCACTTGTTCAGCCTCCTCCAGGCCATTATCTTCAGGCTTGGGTTCAGCAGCTTCAGATGCTGGTTCTGGTTCACCAAGCTCTACTTCGACCTCTGCAACTGCGTCTTCTGTATCTCGGATTGCCGCCTCCTCAGCGCGTTTAGCAGAATTCTCTGCTAACGCTTGGAATCTTTCAGTATCTTTGCGGCCTAGTTTTCCTTTCTTATGCTTCTTCTTCATCAACGCAGCCAACTCGGCCTCTTCTTCTGCGATGAGGGCAGCTTGTGCCGCTGCCTCAGCTACCATAGCTTCGGCTATGGCCGGTTCATCTTCCTGAAGATCAGGCTCAGCAAGTTCTTCGCCTTCAGGTTCTAGCTCCTCAGCCAACTCGTCTTCCTCGCCGTCTTCAGCATCAACAAATTCATCGTCCTCCTCTTCCTCAGCTCGGGGTATGTCTCCCAAACCCTCTCCCGCTTCCTTGGCTGCCTCAGCTTCGGCACGCTTTGCAGCATTGTCGACAAGGATATTAAATCGCTCAGTATCAGAACGACCCAGTTTACCCTTCTTTGCCTTCTTCTTGTTAAGCGCTGCAAGTTCAATGGCTTCGGCGTCGGCTGCCTCCTGGGCAGCTACTTCTTCTGCATCATGATTCTCCTCGGGCTCCGGCTCAGGAATATCATCAACCTCTTCGGGTACCAATTCTTCGGCCTGGCCGTCAGATTCGGCTTCCTTAATGGCACGTTCTTCCGCGCGTATAGCTGCATTTTGCATTAACAAATCAAAGCGTTCTGTATCCTTTCTGCCAAGTTTGCCCTTTCGCGTCTTTTTAAGAGTAAGGGCAGCAAGCTCCTCCTCTTCTTCAGCAGCAATAGTAGCAGCTATAGCGGCGGCTTCAGCCTCGATAGCGGCAGTTTCAGCATCTTCTTGGTCGGGAATATCTTCTTCTTCTTCTTCAGCAACATCTTCGGGAGTCGTCTGGGCCAGAGCTTGAGCGGCGGCGTCCTTTGCTGCCTGCTCTTCAGCGCGTCTTGAAACAATTCCGGTTAAAAACGTGAACCTCTGGGTGTCCTTGTTCCCAAGCCTTCCTTTCCGTGCCTTCTTGGCTTCAAGAGAAGCAAGCTCCGCTTCTTCTTCTGCGGCTATGGCAGCGGCCTCGGCAACGCCGTCGTCGTCAATATCGGGAACCGGGGCATCAGGGGCTTCTTCTACAGTCTCCTCAGGTTCCGGGGTTGGTTCCTCAAGCTCTTCCACAAGTAGCTCTTCCACGGCCGGAGCTTCGTCAGTAGCAGCCTCAACCTCACGGGCCGCTTGTTCCTCGGCTCGTTTCTCAGCATTCGAAGACAACTGCTCAAAACGCTCTGTATCCTTGCGTCCTAGTTTACCCTTCTTGGCCTTCTTGGCTGCTAAGATGGCCAGTTCTTCGTCCTCCGCGTTAGCAACAGCTGCAGCTTCGGCTTCGGCAGCCTCTCTTGCGGCTGTCTCTTCAGCCTCGGCAGCGGCGGCAGCTTCGTGAAGTGCTTGCTCTTCGGCTTCCTCTTCGGCTACCTTTGCAGCTCGTTCCTCAGCAACCTGTGCTTCCCTTGCGACCTTGTTTCCCAGAAGATATTCAAATCGATCTGTATCTTTGCGTCCCAGCTTTCCTTTTCGATGCTTTTTTGCTTCTAGGGCAGCAAGCTCTTCTTCCTCTTGGGCGATTACTGCCGCAGCCTCAATTTCAGCGGTCTCTCTCGCCACCGCCTCTTCCTCAGCAGCAGCAGCAGCCTTAGCGTCAGCAGACTCGATAGCAGCGAGCTCAGCAGCAGCAGCGAGCTCGGCTTCCTTAGTTGCTCGCTCTTCAGCTCTCTGAGCAGCATTTTCAATAAGAAGGTTATATCGTTCCATATCTCTCTTGCCCAGCTTGCCTTTCCTTGCCTTCTTGGCCTCTAGGTCTGCAATTTCTTGTTCCTCAGCGGCAACTAAGGCCATAGTCTCTGCAGCAGCACCATCATCATCAGGGGGTGCCTCCTCTTCAACAACTGGTGGCTCCGGGGCATTCTCAAATAGTGAGTTCTCGATATCATCTGGGCGATCATTGGTATCTGCAGAATCGGCGATAGCGGCTTCTTGGTCTTCCTCGGCGGCTACTTCGTGTGCTGCATTTCTGGCTCTTTGGGCGGCGTTCTCAGTGAGGAAAGCAAATCGATCGCTATCCTTTTTGCCTAGTTTACCCTTTTTCTCTTTCTTGGCAATTAAGGCAGTTAGTTCTTCTTCCTCTTCGGCAGCAATAGTAGCAGCAATGGCAGCTGCCTCTGCCTCGATAGCGGCGGCCTCGGCTGCTTCAGCATCGACTTCGGCATCTGCTTCAGCATCGGCAGGAATTTCAGCAGGGAGGTCTTCAACTTCAAGAACAGCCTCTTTCATTACTTCTGCCTCAGCAGCTTTCTCAGCTCGTTGAGTTGCATTCTCTGTCAGGATAGCAAATCGGTCACTATCCTTTTTCCCAAGTTTGCCCTTCCTATTCTTCTTTGCAGTCAGGGCAGCTAGCTCCTCCTCCTCTTCGGCAATAAGCAGAGCTTCTGCCTCTGCAGCCTCTCTGGCAGCAGCCTCTTCAAGAGCAGCAGCCTCGGCTGCTGCTGCCTGCTCTGCTTCAGCTTGTGCGGCTGCTTCAGCATCAGCAGTAGCTTGAGCAGCTGCCTCTTCTTGAGCGGCTTTCTCTGCCCGTGCTGTGCTATTGGTAGTAAGAAGGTTATAACGATCGGTATCTTTCTTCCCAAGCTTGCCCTTTCGCTCCTTCTTAGCAATCAAAGCAGCAAGTTCCGTTTCTTCGTCGGCAATAGCAGCGGCTTCTGCTTCAGCAGCTGCAATAGCATCAGGGTCATTAACCTCGGCAGAAAGCTCATCTGTGGCTGGTTCAGGAGAAGGTTCGTTAACTTCTGTCTCAGGTTCTGGTGTAGGATCTTCAGGTTGCTCGGTAGTCTGGGCTATTTCTTGGGCTCGCCTTTCTGCATTTTCCGATAAAACAGTAAATCGATCAGCATCTTTCTTGACAAGCTTACCCTTCTTAGCTTTCTTGGCAGTTAGTACAGCCAGCTCGGCTTCTTCCTCAGCAATAGCTGCATCCTCTGCTTCGCGGGCTGCTGCTGCCTCTGCTTCAGCTGCTGCTGCGGCTTCTGCTTCCTTTGCAGCCTGCTCCTCAGCCTCCGCTGCTGCTGCTGCTGCTGCGGCAGCTGCTTCTTCTGCCTCCTTAGCGGTTTGTCGCTGCGCAGCATTTTCTGTCAGAATATTAAAACGGTCGGCGTCCTTTTTGACAAGCTTCCCTCTTTTGGCTTTCTTGGCAGCAAGAGTGGCAAGCTCTGCCTCTTCATCAGCAATCAGGATAGCTTCAGCTTCGCTTGCAGTTATAGCTTCCGCTTCGGCTGCGGCTGCTTCTGCTGCGGCTGCTTCTGCTGCAGCTTCCTCTGCTTCTTTTGCAGCCTTGGCCTCAGCCGCGGCAGCGCCAGCCACTTCGTCTGCTTCTTTAGCAGCTAGTCGTTGCGCAGCATTTTCTGTGAGGATATTATGCCGCTCTGTATCCTTTTTGCCAAGCTTGCCTTTCCTTATCTTCTTTGCATCTAGACTGGCTAACTCTGCTTCTTCCTCCGCAACAATAGCTGCATCAGGAGCAGGATCAGGATCAGGATCAACAGATGCTGCGTCCATGTCTACAAGCGGTTGCTCAGGCTCTGGTCCGGGTTGAGCTTCCGCCACCACCTCTACATTTCCCTGGGTGGCTTCTGTAAGCTCTCCTTGAGCTTCAACAGCACCGATCGCTTCAGCTTGCTTAGCTACTCGTTCGGCTCGTTCGGCAGCCCTTTGAGTGAGGACATTAAAACGCTCCACATCCTTCTTCTTGATCAGATTGCCGCCACGCTTGATCTTCTTAGCTGTGAGATCTGCAAGTTCCTTCTCTTCTTCGGCAGCAATGACAGCTTCCGCTTCACGGGCAGCGGTCGCTTCAGCCTCATGTGCTGCGAGCGCATCTGCTTCACGGGCTGCAGCCTCCTCGGCTTCTTTAGCAGCCTGCGCCGCGGCTGCTTCCTCGGCCTCTTTGACGGATTTTTCCTGAGCTCGCTTTACAGAGTTGCCAACCAAGGTCATTAGTCGAGCCGTTTCGTTCTTTGTGAGCTTGACCTTCTTGGCTTTCTTGGCTTTCAGCACTGCCATTTCCTCCTCTTCCTTGGCAGCTACCTCAGCTTCAGCATCTGCGGCGGCTTGAACTGCAGCCTCGGCGTCTGCAGCAGCTTGGGCAGCGGCTTCGGCTTCGGCTGCTGCTGCTGCCGCCGCCTGTTCTTCTGCTTCTTTCGCTGCTTGTTCCTCGGCTCGTTTCGCTGCATTGTTGATTAAGAGATTCAGCCGTTCCTGCTCTTTTTTGAGAAGTTTTCCTTTCTTCGCCTTCTTTGACTGCAGGTTCTCCATTTCCGCCTCTTCCTGCGCAATTTCAGTGGCAAGTGCAGCGTCAGCTTCTGCAGCTGCTTCCGTGGCCAGACCATCCTGGTCTGTCTCTTGAGAAAGAAATTCATTAGAAGGTGCCGCTGGAGCAGCTGCAGCAGCGGCAATGGCCTCAGCTTCCCGGGCTGCTTGAGCTTCGGCCCTCCTTGAGACATTCCCTTCGAGCAGAGCAAGGCGTTCTTGATCCTTTTTCAACAACTTTCCATTGCGTTTCTGCTTCTTCGCCAATAGTGCCGCAAGCTCCTCGTTCTCCTTTGCGGCTTCGGCGTCTTCTGCAGCCTGTAAAGCGGCAGCTTCGGCGTCGGCGGCGGCTTGAGCGTCAGCGGCGGCTTGTGCAGCTTCAGCGGCAGCTGCCATCTCGGCCTCGCGGGTAGCTCGAGCTTCAGCTCTTCGGGTGGCATTCCCTTCAAGAAGAGCAAGACGTTCTCGATCTGACTTAAGGAGCCGTCCTCCTCTTTTAGATTTCTTGTCCAAAAGATTGGCAATCTCTTCGTCTTCACGAGCGGCCTCGGCTTCCTCAGCTTCGCGAGCGGCTTGCTCTTCAGCTTCTCTGGCGGCTTGCTCTGGGTCTCCTATTAATCCATCCATTCAGCTAGTTCTACAAGTGTGAGGGTTGATATTGGGAGAGGGCAGTCAGACAAGGCGAGTTCTCGATGTTCTCTAACTTCTCTGCCCCAGGGAATGAAGTCCAACCCCAGTTGATTTTTGCACATGACATCATCTCGAGCCTTGCTTCTCAACCCCTCCTCAATAACATCATGATATGGCTCACCAGTAGTATCGATAAGAAACTCATGTGCATTAGGCTTCTTGTTGTCTATTGAGCCCCAAAAAGCATCGTTAGGATCATCGGCGCCGGAAGTTTTAAAATCGAACGGGTCAGCGGCCGGTTTCTTGGGCTTCTTGCCAAAACCCCAAGAATCGAGGAAGTCGTCGGTGCCAACAGCCTCGACGGGATCGGGGGCGGGAGGAGGAATATCATCCTCTATTTGAATCAAGTCGCCAGCTTTCTTCTTTTTCTTACCTGTTCCCCATAGATCCCAACCGTCGTCTTGTTTCTTAGGCGGCTCTGGGATTTGATGAGCTTTAAAGAAATTTGACTCACTTGTTTCATCCTCACCTTTCTTTCCTATACCAAATGGTCCCCAACCACTCGTTTCCTCTGGCGGAGGTTTTGCCTTTCCAGTTCCAAAAGTACTCCAAAAGTCGTCACCATCCTTGTCTTCAAACGAAGGGGGGTCAGGTGCAGGTGCAGGTATTGAATCTTGAGCCCCCCAAAGTGAACTTTGTGAATGCTCCTTTTTCCCAGACCAGCCACCCCACTGATCTTCCATTGAAGGGGGTTCGGGTGCAGCTGCCAAAGCAACTTCCTCCATGATTCCCTTCTTCTTGGCCCGGTCTTTTTTGGATATTCCCCAAGTATCCCAAATATCCTTCTTTCCGTTCGGAGGTGCAGTATCGGAATCAAGGGCAAGCTCTTCCAGGATGCCACCAGCTTTGCCCTTCTTTTTTTGACCACTCCAACCCCAAGGATCATCACCATCTTTTGGTCCCTCGTCGGGTTCGGCGCCCCAGAGCGTGGAGCCCTTCTTCTTCTCTTTCTTGGCACCAAAGCCCCAACCGTCGTCGTCGTCTTCAATTCCTCCTGTTCTATCATGAGGTTTGTCCCAGGGGTTCTCTTCAGCCTTGGTTTCTTGTGGAGGCGGCGGTGGTGCCGGTGCCGGTGCCGGTGCCGTTTCGCTTTTCCCTCCTACGCCCCAGCCCCATCCTCCTCCACCAAAGCCCAATTTCGCGCCCCATGAACTAGAAATGCCCTTGGATTCTGGTGGGCTTAAACCAAGATCTAGTTTATTGTCTCCAAGATTGATATTCTCAAAGGTTGTGGGAGGCTTCGGGGGCGAGTTGCTGTTGTCATCACCATTTCCGTCACCGGCGCCGCCTGCAGCGTCTCCTCCACTGGCTCCTCTATCTCCTCCGGTATTGTCATCCTTTTGACCGTCGTCTGCTGGTGGAGCCGCAGGCGGCGGTGGCGGCGGTGGGGGAGCAGAAGGTGTTTTTGCTTTCTTCTTCTTTGCCGCTTCGTAGAAACCTTGACGCGAGTTGAAGTCGATGAGGATATCGGAATTAGGATCGTTAAGAAGCGCATCATTCGGTTGGCGGCGTTCTTTCTGGGTATCTGATGGTGGTTGAGGGGATGGATTGAGCCATGCTGGGGCTCGCATACGGGCGTAACGGCTGGTCCCATTCAGGGGCATTGTGGTGTTGGTAAGATCAGAAGAGTCGCAAGATTGAGGGAGGCGACAATACCATCGTGGAGAATGATCTGGTATAATTAGCGGCCTGTCGGCCACTTTGCGATGTGATGGTGGAGAAGAGACCTGGATAAATTGTATGACGTTAGACAAGACAGACTTTCAAACGTGTTCCAATTCCGGAACTAGATCGCATGACAAGACAGGAATGGGTGGCGGTGGGTTCCCCTCAGGAGAGTTCGGGCCGCTGATCGAGGGGTTGGCCGTTGAGCGCCACCCATTTAAAGTCTGTTAAGCTTTTGCTGGGAAACATCATGATTCAAGCAAAAAAGTGACAATATTTAAATTGCAACTACGCAAGCTGGGCAGAGAATGAAACGAACATACATTTTCATGTAATCTGTGAACAACCCAGGCACGGGCAATGAGACTCAGTCGGTGGCGCAAGGAGCTATCAACCGGCGCACTTGACAAACACTGAATAACCGGCAGGCCACGCGCCCTTCTTGTCCAATTGTCTGTGAATGCCAGAACATCGACCGCGGCCATTGTGAAGAATGGAGCTCGTGCGAAGACTGAGCGACGTCACACACATGGAAGCTATAAGTATGAAGAAGGATGGAAGGGCGACGAGGTATCGACAACTGAGCCAAGTCGCCAGAACAGAGACAGTGTGGGATGTCAAGTTCGTGACAAAGCGAATTTGTAGCTTCGTAGGAGTTTTCGTGTAAGTCGTAGACGATTGCAATATCAAACAGCAGAGTTGCGGGGTCTGGCCCTGTTCGAGGCTGCCGAAAGCGACGCCGTGACAAAGCCGGATGTATTGTCAGGGTTGAGGACAGGTAGGTAATTCTCAAATTACGCTGCGCTGGTGATGGGAGAAAAGAGTCGGATCGTCGAAGAAAACAAAATTGAGGCGTTGTCAGGTCGAAGGAGCGTGATGAGCGTACTGAGTGACTGCCGAGTTGATTGACAAAACAAACCCTGGGCGACCAACTGTCACTTTTCACCAGCCACCCCCAGTCGTCAGATCGTCGTCTGGCCTGGACTACTTTTTTCGGGGGTCTTGCGTTGCGCGCTGTGTGAATAAATGAGCTCCCACACAAGAAGATGACGCTCGACCACTCGAGGCAAGGCCAAATAATGAGTACGGTCTCCTCAGGATAGATAAGGTTGATAGAAAGGATTTATTGAAGAGGGAGGTTGAGGAAGAGGAGGGGGGAGAATTCACTGCAACGAGGAGCAAATGATTTGCAGACAGTGCATGGTAAGAGAAGCAAGGGAAGAAGGAAAGGTCGAATCGGCAAAAGGTCCCATACAATACCCTTTGGGCGCTTCAGTCCAAGACAAATTGGTTGAGCTAAGAGCCAATGACGCCAGTTCTGGCTGTTCAGATCGTCGGCAGGCGAATTGCTCAGATGTTGTACTTGTCAAGGCTACTGTTTAATGGGTAGAATCAATGCAAAGGACAGGGTTCAGTGTCCAATGTTGATGTGCAGCCAGGCGAAAAGGCGGGCAAACGCGGGAACAGGACAGGGAAATCAACGCGACAATGACAGCAAGAGACGTTAAATGATTAAGGCCCCGTAGGTGCTCAAAGCAGGGGACGGGCCCTTCAGGTTCTTTCGTCTCTAGGTAGGTACTAACCTTTAACTGGAGAGTGCGCAACAAACACGCCGCCACGATGCATAGGCTGCGAGACCTAGAAAGAATTTGAAGATGATGAGAATTTTGATAGTATTCGTTATCTAGATGCGATGAGCTAAGAGACAGATCCCGGTTCCTCTCAGCTCACACAGTGGTACATATGTTCGCTACCTTAGTAGCTTAGTAGGTACTAGGTATTTAGCATACTGTGTCGACATCAAAACACTCAAGTGCTTTTTTATCTCTGAAGAGGACTTAGACTCACTGTCTATAGGTAAGTAGGTGTCTACCTACGTGCGCAGCTACTACTTACTACCCCGATCAATATTGTTGGCCGCACCTCACCATCACAATCACCAGACCAGCAACCCCATAACAACCTGCACCCTCAGTCTCAAGCCCAACACACCCTCTCATTGCTCCCTTCAGAACCCGTATCATTTGGAAGAAGAACATTTTCCAGACATGATTCAATCCTCATCAGTTCTCACATCAAGCACCTCAACCCACGCATTCATTCAAAAAGACAGCCTCTACCACCGTCATAGGTAAACATCATATGTCGTGTTATTGCACATGCACGTACGATCCACTCGATCCAGGTCAACCAACCACTGATGAGTCCGTTGATGCTGATGCAGGTCTGCAAGGTCAGGCCGCAGCACAACGCGTGGTTGGATCAGATCCTTCGAGGTACATGTTGGCGAAGCCCAATGACTTGCCAGCTTCTCATCGACCCAGCCACCCGAATCTCACATGTGCATTCCACTAATGAGAGAAGCAGGAAATCTGAAAGGAAGGGTCGCAATGCCTGAAACCCATCCATTACAAGGCACATGTGTGCCCAACATTGGATTGGATATCTGGCGACTAGGATCTGACTTCCATCTTGTCACCAGATGTAAAACTCTCATGAGATAACTGTACTTAGTTCTCTAACTTGCTTTCCCAGCAAGACTGAGGGAGAGGATGGTTCATTTGCTGCAATGTGCTACTCCAAGGACACTTATAATCCACCTGGACTATCTACCAGATGGTGGTACACCGTATGTACAGCGCAGCTCACGGGACGGCGATGGTTTTGTCGTTCGATCTTTGTGACATCACGCGGGCTTGGTTGTTCCACTGGGGGCCAATATGCATATACATGTTGAGACATGTGTGACATTTCTCGTTACTTCGAGGGGCACTGTCTCACCACCACAAACCTGAGTTCCTTTGACAATCCTCTTGGGAATGCGGAATAGGGTCAATTCCGTGAAGTGCATAGTGCATACACGCCTTTCCCTCCAGAAGGGTAAGGTGAGGCTATCAGCTCCTTGAGACTGGTTGACGTCCCGTTCCCTTCCCGTTCCCCGCGTCTTCCAGGTTCATTGTGCTTAATAACATCGGGCAAGTTTTGTGGGACTTGCTGTTACTTTTGGTTCACACGACGACCGCTAATTAGGTAGCCAACACTTCTAAACTTCTCAAGATCACCAGGCTGTCCTCGCTTTACACTAGTTCAAGGCAATTGGGGGAGCGGGTATGGAAAGGCCCGAGGGGGGCTAGATTGAGAAGATGCTGGCAACTTCAATTACAATGGAAGGCAATGGCCGTATCAGCTACAAGGTCCAGTAGTCGCTTCGACGGCGTGCCTTGAGGTATTTTCTACAGCTTTTCCAGGTCATCCGTCACTAAACAGCCACACACGAACACATCCAGCTACTGGGGTCCTGCTTTGAAATGATACATGCAGCACAGACACGGAGTACAGACTACAGCACTACGTGCCTACATATGGAACTATCCGCGGATTGGGGTCTTGGGACGACTCGACAAAATCCACAAACGCCACAGGATGCTGCAGAGTCCCTGCGCTTCCTGCAAGACGTTAGCCCTGTACATACACCCTAGACCAAAGCTTGGCTCGAATAGGTATCGCCAAACCTTCACCGCCTCCAGGTCATGTACATACGCCGTGTTATCCAAATTTCGTTGGAAAAAGCCCGCATTTTTAATGCCGCCTGGTCCATTTGAGCTGGGATCGACGACGATAACAACGACGTGGCCGTCTTGGATGTGAGCGATGAATATGGACAGTGGACCTGGACCGTTGATGAACTGAGTTGATGGGGCTGCTTTCATGCACCATCTGTTAACGTATCAGTTCATATCCAAGGATGGATGTCTCCGCACAACAACCAGCGAAACAAGAAGAACTGTTTGCCCTCCTGCCTGACGCCTTTTGAGCGGTCAGACCTGATTGTTGCCGCGATTGTCAAGGGAGAAACAAGAATGACTCGGCAAATATTTACGACTGAGGAAGATAGAAATTAGCAGCCGCGGTGCAGGCAAGATGGATACTGGCTCCGTCGTTCTGATTTTGCCCGAGTTGTCCAGACGAAATCTCTACTTGGGTGGGAATGGCGATAATTAAGAGCTGGCGTTAGCGACTGAGCCATGAGTTGCTATCTCAAATGGGACCACCCCAGCATCAATCGGTTGCAGCTACTCCGTAGAGACGATGCAATGCTGTGCATTCACTAATTGATGCTACCATGTGAGTGTGATGATATTCATAGAACACTCGGTTCCTGACTACGATAGCTGCAGGCAAGTTACCCAAGCCGAGAAAGGCAACACAGGGTCTCGGCTTACCCTAACCCAACCCAGGACATTGTCTTGGCCTTGGCTTACGGTACAGTTCTCACAGCCCAGACTACCTAGCAGTGCCCAGTGCCGGCAACAATGCGAGTTTATTCTTAGACCTGAGCTGCAAGACGGGCCGCAATCCCATCGTTCTATCTCCAGGTACAGGAAGCCCTCATTCGATTCACCCAGACTGCATTCCGGCTTCTGGTGGAAACTCAAGGCACCAAGCTAAGTTGACGCCTACAAATAACGCAGTCTCAAGGTGTAAAACAAATCCCACTGTACAATATATGCTGTACAGTCGGCCAACTGCCGGATCGGGCCGTGAGTAGGACTTGATGTCGGGCTCGGAAGGATAAATTGCTGCCGGCTGTTGACGGTGTTGGTCTGGACTGCAGCACATGGATTTTCTAGACCAAAGATTGACAGGGCGAGATCCATTATGGTTCGTTCGTCTCCGGCAAGTCAGCCGTCGTCCGTGCTTCGGGAATTGGCTGCAACGCAACGCAGCATCTAATCTTGGGCCTCGCCCGTTCAGTTGAAGGATATCGCCATGCCCATCAGTTCGTCTAGGGCGCTCCTCTTCGGGGGAGCCTCTCTCGTTCTGGCAGGTGGCTGGCGGATCGCGGAAGAAAAGCAGCCGGACAATCGCCTCAACATGGGGATAAGCTGGAGTTGACCTTGGAGAGCAAAGGTGACAATTCCAAATACCCAAGGTTAGTAGGGAGAAGAGAGTCTGTCACTTGAGGTGCCGAGGTGGATGTGGGTTTACCAACCTTAACTTAATTAGCTATGTACTAGGTAAGGTAGGTAGGTTAGGTAGGTATCTACTATGGTTACTGTAATTAGACATTTCTTCGTACCTTAGTAGGGTCTGGAGATATCACACAAACATTTCACACATGTCAAAGCGGCAGTTCAGTCGCCTATCATCAACGGGACATTCGGGATTTAAAAGTGCATAGTAATTAACCTAAGGTGATCGGAGCTAGTTTCTCCCTTTCATATTGGCATTGCAAGTCATTACTGACAACCCTCACTCAACCTGATCCCTCGTTTCACTCTTTCCATCTACCTATCTCCCCTCTTTGCTCCGTGTTCACTCTTCCTAGGCTCCTTACACTCACTGTAACAAGGCCCCATCAGCCACCATATGCCCCCGCCTTAGGTACTACTATACCTTGGGTACCGGTACTTTACTGTGCATGTACAGTATATTTTTAACTCTTCAGCCACCATTTGGATTAGCCTCAACTCAACTCAACTCACCTCGAACGTAACTTTGCCCAACTCATTCAACGCAACACAACGCAATATCACATCTTTGTTCTTTTACTGTCCCCCTGGTGTCGCTTTCGCTTGAACCCAGGAAATCAGCAGAAAAGAGCGAGGTGCAAGGGCTTTGAGACTTCAAAACTGACTGCTCCTGTTCCGATACGCGCGGGCGCCTATTCGCTTCTCAACTCCCGCCCTGCATGGAAGCGCAGTGCATGCCATCCATCCATACCTCTCACATCCGCTCTGCGCCGCTTGTCGTCGGATTGAATCTCCGTTTCATGTGAACAAAGAGCCAAGAGGGATATGAAGCAGTCTCTGTGAGGCGCAGGTTTTGATTTATTCTCCGCTGTTCTTGTCGAGCATCTTTTTGTCCTTTGGATATCACAATCTCCTCGTCGACTAACACGTCCTGGTCTTGCATGTTGCAGTGGATAAGTTGATTGGGCCTTTACGAAGAACGCTCTTTTTTCTATGGCTGTCCTCTTCTTTCGCTGCTGTCGCTATCAGTCCGCCTTGATTTACTCTTCAACTATCTCGAAGGAGATAATAATCGTCAATCGCCATTGATAATCACCATGTACGCCTTGGCCAGTCTTGCAAGGATAAACATCTCGATATCATTACCTTCAACGTTACCAACTTCCACGAACTCTAGTCGCCCGTGTTGGCGAAGCTTCGTTTAACAAGACAACCTCGATCAACTGCTCTCTCTGCACCCTCTTGTTCGTCTTCTGTACACCCGTTCGCAGAGACTTGGCACCCATCTATATCGCCAGAAGCCCTCCAAATCTATATAAAATGCGCTCGACACAGCTTCTCTCGATCTCTGTACCCATTCCGGGCACGCTTCCTCCCAGCGCCGTGGTAGCAGCTCTGCAAGCCGTAGACCCATTTGTCGCCCACCACCGGACAGTGACGAGCTTGGAAGAAGTCCAAGCTGATCCGGCAGACACAGCTGACGACCCTTTCTTTGGAGCTTTCGATGACTCGTTTCGCGCTTTTCAGATGCAAGAGCTCGTCAATCTCGCTCCTGGTCTTGGGAAAACCATTTCTTACAAGGCCATCTTCCAGGTAATACCTGATGGCCTTCGCTCTCGTGCGAAAGCACCTGTGGGCGTCGTCGTTCGAGCGCAGTGGACGGTGCGCCAACAACAGCAAGCCCGATCGCCTTCGGGTCCTATATCACCCGCGGGATCTGATAGCACTGCCTCAGGTAGCACGGCGACTGCTGAAGGGGACGAATTCGAGCTACACGAGCAGGTTCTCCTCGAATGCAATTCTCTCCTGATGCCATTCATTACCGAGTCTTGTGTGGCTGTACATCGTGAAATTTGTGAGAATTTCATGGCGAAAACATTTAAGGATTACTTTGGAACCTCGCCGATGTATTGATCATATGTGTATATGCTATCTGGTATGACTCTAGTCCAAGAAACGAAGTGGTCTTCAACACATGGATGTGTTCAAAATGTGGGAGAAGGAAAGTCAGTGCGGCGTTTTTGCAAGGCGTTAGTATTGTCATTCGTGGGTTTGACCTAGTATTTTATAATCTCTTACTATAACTACTGCCAGATATCCAAGGAAGGGAGGGCTTCCATAAGTCAGGGCTGGCCAAAAGTAACAAAGGGGGCCAGTTAATGTGTGTGTAGCCTAGACGTCGATGTTGTTCATACTGTGGCATTTATGTTTTCAAGCAATCAATATCTTTACGGTACTTATTAATATTGTATGATCATATGTAACTGGCAGGATGTATGAGCCTTATCCAGACCGAGATGTAAAAGCAAGCTTCAGCTACCTAGGTATACAACCTACCCAAACTGAACGAGAAATAAGAGATAAAACACGTCATATTGAATGAACAGAACAGACTAGATTTGGTATCTATGCGCGTACCGTCTATACCCAAACACTCCCCAAAAAGAAATATCCCGCCGGATCCAATTGTGTGTATAACCGTTGTGATGCAGTAACCACGTCGCATCTAGCATATCCAAAAGACGGCTGTGAAGTAGAAAACAGAAATTCCTCGAGGGATAGAAAAAGAAGCAAGGCGCAAGGTAAGAACGTCGCCATCTGAGAAAGAAAAAAGAAAGGCATTGGTCGCGTCAACAATGTATGCATATTCTTATGGCGAGTGATCTCACTTTACCGGCCCCCGAAGTCGCTCGCATATCCCATTTCACCAAAGCCTTGACCCATCCCACCCTCACCAAACCCTGTGCCAGGGCCACTCACATACCCACCGTCTTCGTTTTCGTCGTAGTCGCTGGCATCAAACGATGAACGGCCACTAACCTCGTCGTCCATGCCAGCGTTCACATCAGGTGTAGACCAGTTCAGCTGAGCTAATGCAGGATACTGGGCCAAGAGAGCCGCTGGAAGCATTGGGTTGCCAGAGGGGTCCATAGGATAAATAGGGCCATCCATTGGCATACTGGATGCAACAGCCATGCTCTGCGCCATGTTCTGCTGCATCCGTTGTTGTTGCCAGAGTCGCTGTCGTTCCATCATTTCTTCATCTAGTAGAGGCTTAATGCAGATGCGGCCAGCTTCGGACCTGAAATGACGGCCTAGAGCATCGGCACGGGCAAATCTTCTACCACATCCCCATTGACCTCCAACCTTGAGATCGCCTTTACATACAAACTTCTTTTCTCCGGAGTGAAGACTCTCGTGTCGTTTGCGGTCGTGTTGTCTAGCAAAAGCCTTGCCGCATACTGTACACACAAAAGGACGCTCATCTGTGTGCGTTCTCAGATGTGAACGCAAGTTATACGCACGCGTAAATCGTTTGGGACACAATGTGCACTGAAAAGTGGCAGGGTGTTTCTGAACCCGCTTGGCAGCCCCGCTGTCCTGGTTGTTCTGGTACTCAGGATCGGCCAGTCTGAGAGCGATAACGTTGTTGGGGACAGCCGATGTGGACTGTCTTCTCCTGGAAGGTGAAGTCCCTGCTTGCCTGTCCAGGGGAGATAAAGATCTGGAGTCTGCTCTTGCTGCTAAGTCGGCGCCTAGGGAGGGCGAGATGATGTTGGCATTACCTTGGCGACCTAGCAGACCGCCACCAGGATGGAAAGGATCTGTCACTGCACGTGGACGGGATCGGGGGCGACCTAAGATGTGTGAGCTAGTTTCAAAAGCAATGGCTTCGGCTTCAAACATACCTCTGTCTGGCGGGGTCAACGAATCCTGATCCATACGAGATTTGGGAGTATCAAAAGCACCCTGTTTAGCATTTGTAGGCGCAAAGTCAATGTTGATCGCAGGAGGTGCCATCGACGACAAATCAGCGCCCGAAGGCTGGAGGGAAGGGAAGGCCTCGATGGGCGCTGAAACGTCAGGATAGGTAGAGGAAACTCCATATGGATTGTGAGGACCTGCCAAACCAAAACTGTTTTGATTCAGCTGGTTCAGGTCCGGCATCTGCTGAGGAACAATGCGGGGGCTGATTGCGGGACTATGGGAAGGACTACGACCCTGGTGTCCAGGACTACCACCGACTTGAGGGTCGGAGAGACTAAAGTTACCCATACTCAAAACCTCTTGATATAGACTGCCATCAGAAGGGTGGTGTGCAGGCGAGTGCCCGCCGACATCAGTCTCAAAGGACTCGGCACTAACAAGGTTCGGTGATGGAGCCACGGACGAAACGTCTGAGTACTCGGAGGGCGTGCGACGGTGGCGCTGGAATTGAGGCTGGTTCCAATCAGCTATCTGGTTTGGGAGCAAAGCATCTGCTGGGCCG